ATATGGAGGGACGACTGTATTACAAAATTTAATTGTTTACTGTAAATTAATATACCAGTACTTATTACAAAAAGAATAATATATACATTGTGAAAGATAAATTAAAGTAGCTTTTATAAAGCAAATTAATGTGTTGTAGGCTATAATATGTGTCTTTAGAAAGTATTAACTAATTTTTTTGAAAGCAATAAATTCTTATCTGGGTATGCTAATACTTTATTCAGGGCAGAGAACGATTAACATTTTTTCCAAGATGTTTTAACAACCAATCAAAATAAATTTCTGCTATGCTATACAAACCAACTCACTCATTTTAATAACATATTATAGTCAATAAAATAGCAAGTTTGTAACAAAACTATTTAGAGTATTGTAACACATAATAGAAATAATGACAATTACAATATAAACTGACTTATCTTAACCACTTATTGCAGTATTAAAATAGTAAATTTGTAACAAAATTGTTTACAATAACTTACATTAACAATTATGACATTCTGATGCAAATTAACTAAAATTTAATCACATATTATGATCACTAGAATAGTGAATAAGTTCTGTAACAAAATTTTATTTACAGTAGCAAGCATAGAATTATGATAATTTTAATGCAAGTTAACTCATCTTATTAGAATAGTGAATAAATTTTATAGCAAAAGTTTTTCAATAGCTCATGAATAAATATTAATTTATTGTAATTTGCAAAATATTTTATTTTTGATCAAATTGTTCACCTGATTGTCATCCAATTGTGTGTGTATAAGAAACAAAAATTTAATATAAACATGTAACTTTCATAATCTTTGTTAGGCAAAGTCATGCTTGCTAAAAATTGTTTCATGCAATTGTGTAATCAGACAACAATCAGGTGATTGTATAGGTCTGCTCTGCAACTACAAATTTAATTAAAAATAAATTATTTTTAAATTGCAATAAATGCAAGCCAACTCATATTAAACACTTACTGTGTTACCAGAATAATGAATATTTTTCTGTAATAGAATTATTTATACAAATTACAACAATTCCAATTTGAACTAACTTATGGAATAGCAAGTAAGTTTGTGATAGAATTTTTTAAATAATTTCAATATGACATGTTTTAATCAGAATAGAAAGTAAGTCTTGTAATAACTCTTTTAGTAACTTACGAATAACTCATATCAATTAAATATAAGATAATTCAACATTATTTGTGTCACCAAATTAGCAAGTTCTATAACAAAATATTTTAAGTAACTTATGAAAGAAATTGCAACAATTTTAATGCAAAGACTAACTCTCCTTACTACTAAAATAGCAAATAATTTCTGTAATAAAATTATTTATAGTACATAACTTATGATAGAATATATGACAATTCCAATGCAAACCAATTACATATTGTGGTCACCAAAATAACAAGTTATGTTAAAGAATTATTTGCAATAAAAAATCATAGCAATTTTAATACAACTACTCAAACTTAACTACATATAATAATAATTGAAATAGTAAGTAATTTTGTAACAAAAATTTGATTATAACTCATGATAAAAATCAAGAGAATTCTAATATAAACTCATTTGACCAGAACAGTAAAAATTTTTTAGTAACTTATAGATAAATGTTAATCTTATTGTAAACTAATCTGCCTTAAACAATTATACTAGTCACCAGAATAGCAAGTAAGTTCTGCAACAAAATTATTTACAGTATCGCGAGTTAATCTATGACTTTTATCACAGAACAACCTAGACCAAATGGCAAGCACTTAATCGCTTTGCTATAACTGATCTTAAGGTTTATACTAGAGCAAGTATTTTGTTTTTATTACTCAAATAAACTTTATTAATTATTATGAGCAAAACTCATGCAAACTAACTAACTCTCCTATTATTATAATCACTTCGGCTATATATCACATTACTTACATCATAACATAAATTGCTTATACGATCATACAATCATTTGACTCTTATATTACTACTGTTGATATTGAACCAGCAGTTTTTGTGGCACTAAAACCACTATCATGGGACCAAAAGTGTAATTAGAACCCGACTCAAGACCCTTCTTGGAATCAGCAATAAAATCAGAAGAAATGTGCTTCCCAGCAAAGCCCCTAACTAGACTAAGCCTGAAGTAGCCTCAGGAGCATAAAAGAAGTAAGATGAATCAACAAAGTATCAAAAAGATGCTATGATGGCATCTACGATACAATTAGCGCTCAGAAGGTCCCGGGACCATGGATTAGTGAATTTCTGAATGAGGAGTAGGGCGAAAACTATAGAATGGCCACCTGGTTTAAAATGCTAACCAAGTATCTCCCAAAAAGGCTAAATGAGGCAGTGATACTGATGGGTAAAGCAAGCCAAATGAAACCAAATCGGAAAATTGTGTGACCATGTGGAATGAATATTTAAATTCATATAAGCGAAGGCCTACTCATCTGAAGATCGTCTGAAAAGTAGACGAATATGATAAGATAAGGAGTTGTAGTTCCATTCTTCTTTTTCTTCCAATATGTAATAATTTTTGTATAAATAAACTTGTAATCCGTTCTGGTAAAAGGGCAGTTCAGTTCCAAAGAACCACAATAAAAAGGTTCGATTCTAAAAAAATAATTAAAAACTTCGACACTTTTGGTAGTGAATAGTCATTCTTATATAAACCTATAGTAAATCAACCCTAAAGCCTTTTCCCTCGCCAAATCTTAACCGCCTCACCATTGTTGGTTTGTTGTGTGGTTTTAGTGGTGTTTGTTTTTCCGTAGTGACTATCTAGACTCGCGTATATCTAACTTAGCCACTAACACTACATAAATTTACCTCATATTTCATGCATACTAATTATCTTACTTCGGCATAATATTACATAATACTGACGGTGATCATTATTTGATCTCCTAATTCACTTACTGTCACGTGCATCACGTGCACAAGATAACGTTTGATCGTTCGCTTTACCTTTACCGGATAGTGTATATCACCGTGACAACAGTAACTGATAAAAATTATGACAATTACAAGACAAACTAACCCAAACTTAACCATATATTATGGTCAATAGAATAGCGAGTAAATTCAGTAGTAGAATTTTTTTACTGTAATTCATAATATAAAATTTAAAATATTTACAATGCAAACTAACTCACCTTAACCACATAGTGTGGTTACTGGAATAGCAATTAAGCTTTATAGCGAATTTTTTCAGTAACTCAGAATAAAATCATATCAGTTCCAATGCAAACCAACTCAAACTTATCTACATACTTATTAGAAAATCACGATAATTCTGATACAAACTCAATAACATGGTAGTTATTGTATCATGCTAGAGATAGATAAAATGATAAATAAATAACATAATATAGAATACATTATAATCAAAAACGATATAGAGTAGTTAAATAAAAGTAAAAGGAATTAAACAAAAAAATAAGGTAATAAGTTAGCTACTTAGTTGTGATATAAAAGACTGTAAGGCCACGCAAAGTTGATTTTTCGCTTTGCATTACATGGATTTCAAAATTAGGGACGGACGGACGGATTTTTTTTTTTTTTTTATTACTGCAAATAGAATAATGATCACACTAGGTTATATTTGCACAACAAGGAATCAAAAAATTGGACCGGCAGTCATGTTTTTCCTGTCAGTCCTATCGGACAATTACGGGAAATTGGGGTCTCAGTCGGGTGATACCGGATGAAAACAGCGGGAAAAAATAGATGTCGAAAATCGAGCATATTGGGATCTAAAAAAAAAAATTTTTTTGAAAAATTGAAAAAATGGGACGGCGGGTAATGCAAAACGAAAAATCAACTTTGCGTGGCCTAATAATAAAATTTTATACATAACCTGAAGTGTATAAAAATCTCTACTAATATAACAAATAATGTGTAAAGACTACAAAATAACACCAAAAAATTTCTCATCAACATTAATACAAATCTCCATCTGTTTTGCTATAAATTATAATTTGAAATTGATGAATTTCACTACAACATAATATAGCATACTCTATTCTAATTCCCTTTAAACAACTCAAGCGCTTAGTATGTTTTTCAAGATTTTAAAATCGGAAAATGAAATGGGAGTGTTTGGTGATCCCCATTTCATGAAATTGGAAAATTTTTATAATATTTCGTAATCAGATCAAATTGCCGGATAACTTATTTAAAAATAAATACGTCATCAATTTCAATTAAAATTAGATTTCTGTATTTTAACTTTGAAACCCCTAATATGAAAGATTTTAGGCAAAACTTAAAATTTTGTATTAGCAAAAGCAGAAGCCTCCTATTTTCCTTTCGTTAAAATTTTCCAGGAAAGTCAAAAATGAACTGGCAAAAGCGATTTCAAAAAATTTATATATCAGACTATTAAATAAACCGACAAGGAAATATTGAACAAGATAGGTGATACAAGAAACCTTCTATTGACTAGTTTATATTAACTAATAAACAATTTTTTGTATAAAGCAATACAATTACAAATTTATTGTTATTTTCAGAATCAAAATAAAGTTTATGTTTCTATAAAATATAATTTATATAATAAGCTAATCATAACTATAACTATAATACAAATTTACAGTATATTGTATTTACCTATTTAATAAATATATAGCTAGATCTTGCTCTTAAAAAAACATAAAACTATAAAAAACCGAATATTATATATTTTACAATTAGATTAAATAGAAACTGTTAACTATTGAATTGTATAAACCAGCACGATCTCTACACTGCTTCTTATTCCTATTATTTATGTATATATGTTGCGCGTCAGATTAAAACCTGCAATCAGTTGACCAACATTAAATGATCGGCAATAATTGGACTAAAAAAACCACTAACTTTACCGTAATTTTACCCTAACCCTAATCTAACTTAGGCCGATTGCAATCTAACGCAAGTTTTAATCTGACGCACGACATATGTTATATATATTGACTACATTATTGATATTAGTTTATTGCGCTTTCGAATTAGCTATCAGATCTTTCAGGTATTTCAGACCTTTTCAGATATTTCAGATCCATCAGTTATTTCATGTCTTAAAGATTCGGTATCTTCGGAATTTTCCGGATAATCACGAAATTGCCAAATGATTCCTCCAACAATTGTTGCTGCCACAGATACTACGTATGGTATATAATAATCAAATTGGCCGGGTCCAGGTGGGAAAAATGATGTGATGGCAATTAAACCTACGAGTATAAGATAAATTACAATAATACATCGAAGATAAATTACAATAATCCATCGAGGTTTAGTGTTAGAGTCATCATTGTTTTTTATAGCGATAGAGTCATCGTTGCTTTTTATAGTGTTAGAGTCATCGTTGTTTTTTATATCGATAGAGCCATCGTTGCTTTCTATAGCGATAGAGTCATCGTTACTTTTTATAGTGTTAGAGTCATCGTTGTTTTTTATTGTGTTAGAGTCAGCGTTGTTTTTTATAGTGTTAGAGTCATCATTGCTTTTTATAGCGTTAGAATCATCGTCATTTTTTATAGAGCTAGAGTCGGAGTCATTGTTGCTTATTATGATCTAATTAAAATTAATAAATCTTTGTTTAATTTGAATCAAATATAGTAAATTTAGAATAAACTACTTAATTTAACTTACTAATAAGCAAATTGCACTAGCGGCATGAAACATCATAGCCAAATATTGAGATGTATCAGAAAAAAATTCAAAAAGATCATCCGTTGGATCGAAAAAAAGAAGAAGGAAAATTGAACAATAAATAAACTGTACAAATAATGCATTTTTTGGTGTACCATAGTCATTATTGCAGTTGTCAAATTTGTGAGAATATTTAGGTATGAACTTTGTTAAGGCAGCATATTTTATAATTCGTGCATAACTATTAAGATATAAGAAATAAATTCAGTACGATAATATTCTATAATTAAGTATGATTATTCAGTAATCTTACATGAAAACCATCGTGCCCACAGCTCCGAAAGCAGAAATTGCGACAAGTGCAGACATAAACTTTGCTCCAATTTCATTATTATTAAAAAGTTTGTAACCAAACTGTAGGGCAATACTGTTATTAAAAGCAATAGTCTGATTAAACCCGCTCTCATCAATGGAAAAATCATGCCCAAGCGATATCGTGAAAGCAGCATTAATGAGAAAGTCTAGACAATTTAAGAGTTATAATTGCAGTAAGTTTGAATATGATGTCTATGTAATCAGAATGAATTATAATAAATTCGAAATCTTACAAAGTATAAAGGAAACACCAATACTAATAAGGTTTGAATATTTTAATTTTTTATCTTTTGGCTCTTGTAATTCTTCAATTGTATCTATAAATGAAAGTTTATTTTGCATATGTTAAAATCAAAAAAAAAAAAATTTATGATAATATCATTGTAACGAATTATCTTACAGTTTATATTATTCCATCCTTGAATGTACATGAATTATAAGAATTTTTATATATAATTATCAGTTTATTTATTACTAATTGTTAAGGCAATAAATTTTTATAAACACACCTTCATATACAAATAATACCTAGGTTTAAAATTAATTTTAAAATAAATTTAGGTAATTATTAATTTCCCCAACAATCATATCCTTGACATTAAAGTTAGCACAATTTAGAATTCGAATTTTCTGACTTTATGTTTGGCATCAGGAATAATTGTTGAGGAAATGTTATACAGTCTACCCTCGTTTTTATATCAACACATTTGAATTGGTTTAAATTCATGTTTGATAATGATATTAACAAGTGATTATATATATATATTAACAAGTGATTATATATATATGAGAGAATTTTAATATCTTATTGCTTAGGTTGATATTAACAAGAGTAAACTGTATAATAAGTATCAGCGTTGTTAATTTTTTGTTTTTAATTAATTTTATAACTATTTGGTGAATTTCTAGATCAAAAGTTCGGTAGTGTAAATGATTTGAATTCTAATAACTTATTGGTCTTTCATTAACCTTCCATTAAACAACACTGATATATATGCATTGAAAACACTATATTTATATGATACCTTTAATATTCCATTACTATATGCTCCAACGTATTTTGATGGTTTGTTGAAAATCTCATTCCAATTTGTAATATTTTGTCCTGTTAATTTTATTAATCCATACAATGAAATAAAAAATATAGCACCAATCTTAATGAAGGCTAATACTTGATTTATGAAGACAGATAATCTATTAGAATACATATTATATCCCGTAATAATTGCCAAAATAATAATTGCCAATAAACGTAGGATCCTATAAATTAGATAAAGTTAGAATAGATAAATGATAGTAACTTCATACAACCTTTGCTTACATGTAATCCTTGCTAAAATATTGTTGAGGATCAGGATTTATGTCAACGAGATAGAGCAAATGTTGGGCGCAAGAATAAGAATCAGCTATTATAGCCGCGGGCAAAATTATACTTTTATAAAAAGCAAATTATTATTTGTGCATCATGATAAAACCCAAGATTTTAAAAAATTTATACATACATTATTACAACGAAACTAAATATATGCCCTAAATGGTTTTTACTTGGAAACGCATTATCAATGTATCTTTGTTCACCTATTCCTTTAGGTAACGACCTAATGCCCAACTATAAAAAAGAAAAATTAAAAGGTAACCAATTCTCAACAATATTCACTTATTAGGTAGACTGTTTTATTAGTTTTTACCTCAATATATATTAAAGTGCCAAGTAAGCTAATAATGCCACCCAAAATCCAAAACATTAAAATAACAGCTGGTGACCCAACAATCATCCATATACTATTAGGATTAAAAATACCTATTTGAAATAGTTATAATGAACTTAATTTATCATTAAAAATTTTTTTATAAACATAAATTTCATTACAAACCAGCACCGATGATGCGATTAATGTTGTAACCCGCTCCTCCTATTATTCCTAAAAAGTTCGCTTTTTTTGGTGGCAAGCCACGATTGTCTTTCATAAATTTAAGATTATCAGAGGTCATCTCGTTATTATTCATATTAAGATTGTGTCTGTTAACATTTATTTCGCCAAGTATTTTATTTAGAACAAAGAGAAATTCAGCGAACTACTGTATTTATGAAAATAATTTTACCAAATTTAGAAAGACTTTCACGAATGTTCCTCCACCTTATTTTGTATTATCTTTAAGATTCCTATAAAAAACATAATAATGGAAAATTTAAATAAACATAAAAAATATTTTTAGCTAGGGTTATTTTTTTTCGTGTATCATAATACTCTTTTAAAGACTATCATAATAATCGGTTTATAATACGTACGTACAATAAATGCAACCTTTAAATGCAGTACTTCCCTAATGCATAGTAACAAGCTATACTTGCAGTAAGATCTATAAATAAATGTTCTTTTTCTGCATTTTTTTTTCGACTTAGCAATAATTCATAAATGAATATCGCCAAATGAAAACCCCTCAATTTAAATATATACTATATTTAAATTGTCAGGTTTTCTTTTGGCGACACTCAAATGCATACATGTGATTATTAACTAATGAAATTTTTGAATTTTTAGATTATTGTATGCTTGGAATATCGTCTACATATCTGATATAGTATAATAGGATAATACGTACGTATGTATGATTATGCATAGCGATAGTGTAACGATTAATTTTTCCTGTGTTTCTTCACTTCCGTATTTGTCATTCTTTAAATTGTCACCTACGTTCCATAATTGTACTATCATAGCCATATTAATCTTACCTTAGTAGTATTAGTTAGGCATTTTAATGTATTGTTGGAGGCTTAGTTTATGCAACCACGAATACGCGGTGGTTGTAGCAAGTGATCACGCTCTAAAAAATTGTCATGTATATAAGTGCTTGCTCTCATCCTTAATTGAGGATAATATTCACTCTCAAAATTCTTCTCCTAAATAAGTTCACATTCTTTTTATTATAAATCCCGAATATCCGAATATCTAATTAATTGCCCAAATTATGCGACCCTTTTAACGTCAACCATCGGAGCATGGCAATACCAAGCTCTCCCTTACGTTGGTTACAATAGATCGACAAAATCGTTAAACTTACTGTAGTGCAGTAGTGTTTAAAAAAAATTGATTCATCTCACGTCGTACCAGCTGTTTTTTTAGAAATTTGCACATCAACGATTAATTTAACCTAATTAAACAAAGTTACAGTTTATATTATTCAAACTAAAAAAAAATTAAAAATAATAAAATATTAAAAATAAAATTAAAAAATTTTAAAATTATAACTTTAATCATGTTAGACTATCGTTTGATATATAAATTGCTAGAAAAGAACGGTTGATACGTGGAATGAATCAATATTTGAACACTAGTCTTCTCTAGTAAATTTAAATTATATGTTTAGAAATGTGCCGTATGCATTATGCAGGCGATGTTGCATGCTATATAATGCTGCATAATGTGATGCAGGTTGCCTAAAATTTAAAAATGCTCATAGAAGTTATTATGAAATTTTGATCCATGTCATTTCATCAACAATTACTTTATAGACATTTGTTCATATCAAATTCATAGCCTTTGAAATCCAATAAAAATTAATCTATCAGATCTGTTTTCACTATATAAATCCAATAATTTATGTTTTCAAATCCGATAACCTCTCAATAATAATACAAAGTCTGTTCACTGCATATAGGTTTTGAGAGGTCACAGTATGTATCATGCGACATAATGTTGCATTATGTAATGCAAGGCCAAAAAAAACTTGCGTTCGCACATCTCTATATATGTTGAATGGTAGGTGCCATTTGATAAGTAAGTTTTTCGATTTTTAGTATTTTTTAATTATAAAAAAAAACGGAATTCCAATCCGGATTAATCAGCCATTAATTTATCCGACATGCTATATCCGGATACTCATCTGAATCCAAACGGATTCAATCGAGATTACATTTTAAGGTAATCAACAATAAAAGTTGGAGGAATTCTATTTTCACCCGGACAAAAATAGAAATTTTCCAATTTATATTGCTGATTACCTTAGAATTTGCAATTGCTAAATGATTTATATTGTTAATTATTAGGTTATCCAACTATTAATCTATTTTACCCAATTATCTATTAGATTTCGGATATCTAACAGACAAATAGGTGAATGGTTTATGGATGGGAACACTAAATTAAAAAAAACCATGACTAAATATTTAATAGCTTTTTGTTTAATCTATCAAATTTCCAATAAATTTTTATTTAAGATTTACATCAAGTCCACTCAAAGTTGATTAATTTGTTAACGTCAACAATTTTGGTTTAGATGTGAGGTAATGCTTGATTAAATCTCATGGTCGAGTTTAATCTAATTAGTAATAAAACTTTTGCTGTGCTGTAATTGGCTTGTTTAAATTCGAGGGAACAGTTAAACAAGAGGGGGAATGACGTTAACCAACTATTCAACTTTTGAACATTCTTAGTCTAAGTTTTGCAAAACTATTTACAAAAAAATCTTAAAAAATTAAATTATTCTAATTGTAACAACGATAACATTCGTGCATAAAACAGTTAATTTTATTAAAAAATATTTATTGAAGAACGCCGAGTAAATCAAGTAAATTTAAGCAGTTAATTAGAAATCTAACTATACAAAAAAGATATCTAATTTATTTTTGTTTTTTGTTATTTAATCTATTACGGACACGTATTGCATGAATCCGGTAATTAGGATTTTTTTCTGAAGCCTCTTTATACCAATCTAATGACTTCCTCAAATTTATTTTTGTCCCATTGCCGTACTCATAACAATCTCCAAGTTCATATTGTGAAGCAGGTAGACCCTCTTTAGCTGCTTTTTCGAATAACTTAAATCCTTTAACCTTATCAACATTCGTTCCGTAACCTTTTTGGTAACATATTCCTAATGTATTCATCGCTAATGCGTTTCCTTTATCAGCCGCGCTTTTGAGATAATTAATTGCCTTTTTATATTTATTAAGTTTATAATAATATTCACCAAGCATATATTCAGCGATTGTACATCCACCTTCGCTCGCCTTGGTATACCATTTAATTGCCTGTTTCATATTCTTTCTAATGTTCCAACCAGTTTCATAACATTGTCCAACAAAATATTGAGCAAAAATATCGTTTGAATTTGCTGCCTTAAGAAATAGACTAAATACATCGACGTTTTCATTTTTTGTGCCAATTTCCCAACTATAAAATAATCCAAGTAGACAAGTATATTTTGGATTATATTTATGTGCAAATAACCAATTAAAAACTTCCTCGTCGGTTTTAAGATCTTCAGATATGGAACTGATAATTATATCACTTACTGATCTACCTTTGTTAAATAGTTTACTAAAGGTCGAAGATAATTTATCAACAAAAAGAGTCATATCATCAGCTAAAGAAAGTCGAAGATCATTCAATTCTCTAAGAACATATTCAATTTCCGGACGTACTTTAGGATTTTGATCCCAACAACGTTGATAAAGTTTGACATAATCGCCTGGTGTGTCTTCTATAGGTTTCTCCCTTTTTTCTTCTAATATATATCTTATAATTGCAAGGTGGTGCTCAAAGTGATTAAAAGGTGGTCTACCACTCGAAAGCTCCCAGAGAATTACTCCGAAACTATAAATATCTGATTTTTTGTCACGTTTATATTTATAATTTACAAGGCATTGTGGTTCTAAATATCCGTACATTCCATTAGCTTTGACTATTGTTACATCGTCCATATGTTTTGATATTCCGAAATCTGCAATCAACATTCTTCCATTATGAACTAAAACGTTCTTTGAATGCTATTTAAAAAAAAAAAAAGTAAATGAATTTATCATAAGTCAATATAATTTATTTCATTCAGGAATTCTTACAAGATCACGATGAAAAATCCCATTATCATGTAAAAACGACAGCCCTTGAGCTATTTCTTGTGCACATCTTAATTTATCTAACCAATTTAATTTTAAAAAATTCTTCTTTAAGTAATTTCGTAAATTTCCATCCACAGCAAATTGTAAAATTAAGTTATACTTGTTATTGGAGGGATCTTTTTAAATAGAAATTATTTAATATAGATAACGCTTTAAGAAGAAATTAGTAACTTTAACTGGCTTAATTACCTTTTGTAACCCCATAAAATTGGATGATATTTGGATGTTTATGTTTGTCAATTTTAGCAAGATTCTGAAGCTAAGTATTAGGAACAATGAGAAAGATGCAAAGTCTTATTTGATAAGTATAAAAAAATATTACCTCGTTAATAAATGCTCTAATAGATGTTTCATTTGTTATTTCACTGTTAATACCGTCATTGGTAATGGTTTCATTGGAAATAGCTTTAATTGCTTCATTGGGAATAGTAATTAATTTGAAATCCGCAATAATTCCATTGCTAATAATTTCATCGGCATCAATGTTTAAGCTTTTAAGAACAATAGTAGAATCTTTCCATTTCGCGGTGCATACGGCCCCAAACGGGATTTTGGCAATTTTCTCAAAATTGCTAAATAGATTAAAGTCATATTTGTTTATAATCTGACTTCCTTCATTAATAATCTTTTCAAACAACTCATTTGCAGTAATGTTTGCCATAATTTTATTATTGATTAAAATATATTCCGATTTCTCATAATAATAAAAAAAAACTCAAAGAATATGAATCCTTTAAAATGAGAATTACAAATACTGTACAAGTAACTCCCAATATAAGAAGCCTTCGATATAGGAAACTCTTGATATAAGAATATTTATAAGTCCCAATTGAAAATTTTATAATAAAAACCTTCGTTATAAGAAAATCTTGATATAAGGAAGACTTTGTTGGATCCGGTGACTTTCAATATCAAGGTTCAATTATATTTCATTGATATTACATAATAGAAGAATTTCGTACTACTGTGATTAGAGGTTAAATCGAATTTATTTTTT